GCAGTGGTGCAGTTGTCTCGGTGCTCAACAAATAGTTATTATGTCCGTTTCCAAACGGCACCTTGGTCTCGAATCTGAGACCACTGCCTGCGCAAAGGTAGAGAAGAGGCTGGATACAGCGTAGACTAGAGGCAGGGAGTTGCTGCAGAACGTCCGCAATGTGCAGTGCCAGAGGTGATACCCATGCCTCCCAGACAGCAGCCCCATCTGCGTTCACCAGTGTTGGAATGCGCTTCGTGATCAGGTCCGGAAAGGTCTCGTAAAGCTGCAGTAGGGAGGAAAGACGGTAAGATTCTGTAGCAGCGTACAGATTGCGGGCAGGGTCTGACATTTCGCCTCTGTCGCTCTGGTCGAGGATCTCGATGGCCAATAGAGCTTCTTCCACCACGGTAGCTTCTTCTATATCTCTGATGGCGCCTTGAATGACGCGGTAACTTGTCCCGTCGTTGTGCTTCCACCGACTTCGTGACCTTCGGCAGAGGGCGACGGCCTTGCCAAACAGTCTGAGGACAGTTGCGGAAACACCAGTCCACGCATGTGGGCTTGCGGGTAGAACCGGACCTTGGGTAGATGGTTCCGGCCAGCTGAGCATATTCTCAAAGTCGATCTCGTCATCGCTCACCACGCTCCGGAGCATCTCCTCGTAGATGAGACACCCATTGAAGAAGTCCAGCAGCTCTTGGTCCTCTTTATTAAGAGTGTCGCGATCCAGTGATTTCAGTATGGCTCGCGCCTGTCTTACATATGCGCGACCCAGCTGGCGAGATTCCATCCAGCACATGGACGAGCTCATGCAGAATAATGACAGAAGCAGCTCGCTGGGGAACTTTTGGCGGTAGCGACCAGACGAAAATGCAACAAGCTCCTTCCTAATAGCGTCGGTGGCTAAACGCGGGGCCGCCTTGGCAGTCTCCCTCATGACGAGCGGGAGGCGTTCCACCAAGGAGGCGGCCGAGATAGCCTGTAAGGCGTAGAAAACGGGCGTCGATGTTGACCAAAGTGTCGAGGTCAATCGCCGATAGGGGTTAGTCTGAGAGTCAAAGGCGGACCACGAACCGCAGACCGATTTGAACCAGTGCTCGATGAGGAACGAAGGGATGTCGACCACTGGTTGCCAAAGAGGGACACCCGGCAGCTCCTGAGTTTGTTGTTGCTGTGGTGGCGCGGCCGGGCTGTTTCGTGATACGGTTACTAAGGCGGTGCTGGGCTCCTCGGTGGGGCTTATCGGTGACGTGGACGAAGACCGTGATCGTGATGGGGATAATACACTTGTCTGCGGGGAAGACGCGCTGTCAGAGACGGCAACCGACGCGCGGCTACTCGCATCGTCGCCGCCGTCACCATCACCGTCATGACCAACGCCGCGTTCCCGAGGAGGTGGTGGCGATTTCTCTAGCGATTGGGATATGGACTCGGAAGCGGCAGATACGAGCTGGGTGAAGTTTATGGGAGCGGTGGGCTTTGAAGCCGAAAACGATCGTTCGTGCTTGGTGGACCACTGTAGGCGCTGCTGGTAGCCCGGGCATTCTAAGCCCTTTTGTGTGCAGTTACGGCATGCTGGCTTCGTCTCATCGCATCGTAGCTGTTTTGCGGGCGTATTTTGTCAGTACATCGCATCCGTCAGTTGTTGTCATGTCCCGCCTGTTCACCAGTCCGACGCTGGGTGGCACTGCACACCGCAGCGGCGGTAGGTGGGAGAATACCACCACCACCCAAGGTAGAGACGGCCACGAGGGACATAATAGGAACAGTGAATGATTAGGCGACGCACCCTCCGGAGCTTGCAAGTCCGGCACCCGCTTCTTGACTTTTGCCTGTTCTTCATCTTGGTGTTTTTCTGCTGCTTTGCTCCCGTTGTTGTTTCTGTTTCTGCTTCTGCTGCGGCTGCTGCTGCATCACACACTCTCGACTTGGCGGTGCGGTGCTGATACGTTCATTGCTGTCCTGGAAGGGAAGGAACGAAAAGACAGGCGGCAAATATGCACAGAGGTCAGTCGGGAGGTAGGCTGGAGGCAGGTAGGTAAGTAAGGAGGGTAGCAAGGCGAGGCCTGAGGTAAGCAAGTAGGGCAAGGCAAGGTAAGGATGGTATGGTGGCGGGTTGATGGGTTGGCAAGGTAAGGGCAGGTAAGGCAAGGAAGGTATTGGGAGGAAACACCCCGACGTTAAAGTGATTACGATGGGACGGCGGTTGGTTGCGATGGGACGGCATGGCATGGCATGGCATGGTAATGACATGGGATTGTCCGGCTGAGCGGGAGAGAAAATACCCTACTCTTCTCAAACCACTGCAGTACCTGGTTGGGGCTGCAAGTGCAAGCTGTGCCTGCCAACCTGCGATTGCGACCGGCAGCGCGCAACAAGACAAGTTCCTCGTCAACGGGTTGCAATTATTGGATGGGGATCCATGGAAGCCCTCCAGCACCCTCAGTCCCTCACCCGCCCGTCGCCCAATGGCAGCGACATGAAAGTGGGTGGGCCGCTGAACCAACGACGGACGGGTAGGTCATGCTGAAGATAAGCTCGATAAGGCGACCGAGCCCAGCCAATCGTCACGATCCCGACAATCGTTTTAGGCCCGCGAGGCTTGACGGTCCTGGCGGGCTTGACGGCTGGAGCGGGGCCACTTCGAGCCAGCCCACTGAAACTCCAGATTGAACCCACTTCGATCCCCTGACAAGCCTGAACATTAAACACCTCCACAGCCGATCTTCGCGCCATCAAAATGTTTCTCGATAATGACGGCCTCGCCCAATGCCGGACGCCTCCGGGCATGCTCGCCGCCTTCTTGTCTCGCATTACATTAACACCGATGGCGGGGAAGGACAGAGGGAGAACAGACACTCAGGCGAGAGAAGAAGGGAACGGACGGAATAAGGCTGCACTGTGTCGTAGCCAAGTGTCTAATTTTGAGGGTACGCAGAAGTGATTGGCTGATCTGGAATTCTGGATGCGGTTTTGATGCGCATACTGTGCACACTGTGCATCTACTGTGTGCGGAATCTAGTGCACGAACGGTTGACTACCCCAACCTCCAGGAGGACCGGGACAGCATGAATGACCGCGGCGAGAGCCGTCATCCAAAGTTGACAGGCAGGAGATGCCTTGTACATACGAATATGCGCTCGCCCCTCCTCGTGCTCACCAGGTTCGCCAGGTTCGGGGTCGCAGGAGCCCCAAAGTCTCGAGCCAGTCACGACGTCTGGCAGTGTGGTATCCCCTGTGCCCCTGTGCCCCCGTGTGCATGCTGTACTGTGTAGGTGCATTGCTGCGTGAGTGTGTGCATGCTGTGTGCAGCGGCGCACCAATACGGCCACAGGGAGTGAGGGAGTCTGGGGGGTCGACACACAGATCGACCAGGCCAAGTAAGCTAACTGCCCGAATGGACGACCGAGAAATCGAAGCCCGCATCGAAGCCCGAATAGAAGCCCGAAGACAGCAATGATGGACGCCGACGTTGCACTCACAGCACAAAGGTCCCAGACAGTCGAGCCGTCCAGCGAGTCAAACCCTCGCAAACGACTTTCGCGGCAGCGTGCCAGCGTTGCGTCCAACTTGGAGTCTGCCCTGCCTGAGCTCCCCTCGACAAAGCTTCCCTGCTCCTCCTCCTGCTTCCGCTCCTGCTATCTGTCGTGGAAATTGAAAAGGGTGATCAAGCAAGTCCATCACTTGCTCGGATCCAGACACGCGGAATCCTATGAAACGCGCATCGCCCAAGCGACCTCGAATCATTGGCTTAAGCCGCCCTCGGCACCTTTTGACACTTTTGATACTTGCTCGCGCACTATCGTCCTGGCTGCGTCATTGCAGTCTTGGACCACCACTTTTCAATCTCCATTTGGCTTGAGGAATCTGGTTCTTGGCTCGTTCCCACACGCAGGCGAAGGGCGGACAGGCCATGGGACCCCCATTTTCCCCTGTCCCTGCACTGGCCAGCGGGCGCGTCGGCCTGCGATGCCAAGACTGTGTGCGCTAGCGATATCGTGGAGAGCCTCCGCGTCCTCCTTAGGTCCTAAAGCTCATCCACCTTCGCGCGCGCTCAATGACTAAATCACGTCGGTCACAGTCTCGAGATGAGAAGGTATCGGCGTTTGCGTCATTAGTTAATCGATTCCACTATCATATCATTGTTCCTATCATGCCAGCATTCCCCCGCTCCGGCTTGGCTTCAATACCTTTGAATGTCCACTTCCGACGCTCTCGCGTCCCGGCGCCCGAGCCATCCAAGGTGCCATCAAATGTTATCCAAGATGAGGGTGGGCAGTTGTCCGACCCACCGAAAGGCACCACCCCTGCACTAACCCGGGCATAAGGTGGGGGTGATAGCTGGGTTACCTAAGTCTAACCGTCAGATGAAGAGAGGGTTGTACTACGGATAACCAGGAACCAGGACCAGGGTCGGAGTTCGGTTTATTATCAATCGGTACAAGTCCGAGTTCACTTGGGGTTGGAGAAAGACGTTGAAGGCCTTCTGGTTATCTACCTCCGTCAACTCGCATATCTCCTGTGTAACAACATAGTCTACATGATGGAGGTGGTGCATACATCCGGACGTCAGTCGTAGACGAATACCACACTGTGCACGGTATCGACAGCTGCTGCAGCCATCTTGCTTCATCCTTCATGCAAAACCGGTTGCGTCGGTCTTTTTTTAGCCCATCATACACCATCATGGCAGCCTAGGAAGGCAGGTATCTGCAGCCTGCTCAATAGTGTAACATAAATGTCACGCGTCTTTTGCATGCGAGAGCCAACAGATTCACCACGGTTGGTTTATCAAGCGGATAACTGACGACATAATGTCTTAACTATAGCCTTAAGCCTCACTTTGTTTTTGCATCCATATGTCTCTCTATCTCTCCCTACCTCTCTCAACCTCTATCACGCCAGAAGCCCCACTTCCCAGCATCTTTCCACACATCTCAAACTCGGTGTCCAGTTGAGGTATATAAAAGGAACCCACAAGGTGGATAGACATCATCAGGAGCAAACGAGTTCCACACGGCAAGGTGGCCGAGCGGTCTAAGGCGCCAGGTTCAGGACTTACCTGAATTTCCCATCTAGTAATAGACAACTTCCTGGTCTGAGAAATTAGGCGTGGGTTCGAATCCCACCCTTGTCATAACATTTTGCTCTTCTTCAACACGAAATAATATTTTGTCGTTTTGCGTAACACGGATTAGCTCTTGAGCTCTTGTCTTTTTGAAATAAAGAAGCTTCGTGGGCAAAGGCGCTTACTCCGCTCATAGCCAGAATATTGAAACTAAGTTTGTTTGAAATTGCATTTCATTCTTCAATCCGCAGTCAAGCAGCTTCTAAGACAGCCACTTTAAACGTGTTCATAACATCATACCCAAAATATTCATCAAACTCCATTACCATTCACATCATCAGCCCTTTTAGCAAAGCCCACATATAATGACGAACCAGTCAAACAGCAAGCACAAGCCTACCACCTTCCAACCTGACATTCGTCAGCCGCGACTGCCTCTCCGCCTCTTTCATATTCCCCACAGAGCCAACGGCCAGCCGCACCTCCTCAGTAGGAGCCAGGAGAGTAGCTAGCTCAGAGCTCTTCAGCACGGGCGTCCCTAGCTTAGCTGTCCGGACGATAGTGATGGCCAGGAAGAGATATGACAGAAGCATCTGGGCCGCGAGGAACGCAGCCCAGCCCCACTTGATAGACACAAACGTTTCCTCAGCTAACGCCACGCCCTGTAGAAGGGGGTTTCCCTCCACGCCTCGGATTCTGTTGCATAAAATGTTAACGCAAGGTCGTGGCAACGGGGTGCATTTGGAGATTGGAGACACTCACGCATTCGACATACTCGTAGCGGCGCTCCCTAAGACAACCTGCAGATTGGCATACTGCTGCGCAGCACCCAAACCCGCCTGGTCCTTTCCGTATATCGCCTCCTCAATCCCGAGGTAGCCCTGATGGACAAACGTACCGATGCTCCCAGTCAGCCCATCGGTCACGTACGTGTTCATCAGGTCAAAGTACATGTTCCACGTGATCAACGTCCCGGTAAATCGGTTAAAGGCGTAGCGTTTCGTCAAGTCCCCGGGGGCTGACGGATCTTGGAGGTACGTCACATTTCCGACGCGCTCCACATAGTCGCACGAGTCCACGATCAGGTCTGGCTGTGCGTGGCAGACGGTGTTGTAGAGGGGCTTGTTGTCGTCGACGGACAGCGGGACGTTGGAGGAGCTGACGACGCTGGTGGTCGAGTTGCCTGCGGCGAACGTGGTCTCGTACGTGTTGACGCATGCGTGGTACAGCACCTCGACGGCCTGGAAGTCCCATGGTTTCGTGTCGCTCGCCCGGTCGTAGCCCTGGTATGAGACGTTGCCGGCGTTGCTGTAGATGAGGATGAAGTGGGCGACGGCGGTGAAGTTGTCGTTGGGGTCGGTGAGAGCGAAGGCGCGCTCTTGGGGTACCATTGCGAAGGCGAGCGAGAGGGGGGTGACGAAGCTCAGGCCGTTGGGGAGCGACGCGTTCCAGGCTGTAGTGCCGTTGCCATCTGGAAGTGCCAGGTTCCTGGTGGCAATGTCAGTTCATGTTGATCATTGTCTGTTTTTGCAAGTTGTTCGCCCAGAGGCACCGGATAGGGAAAAGGGGGGATCGGAGAAACGGTTGGAACACATACCATCCTTCGCCACCGGTCCAATCAGCAGTTGTTGAATTCTTAATCTCGGTGATTCGGAGATGCTCGGTAATATTCGTCATTTTCATACAGACCGCCAGTGACTGATACTGATCAAAGGTGCAGTTTCCAGCAGAGCACGTCGGCGCCAGATGCTCTACGGGCTTGGCCACCGTGCTGCTGATGGCCTGAAAATCTGCGCTAGCTACTGCCATGGATATGGCGGTGTCCGATTTCCCTAAAACTCTGGTGTACGGAACACTGGCCTCGCCGGCGGTAGGAGCAGGTTTCGTCGTGTACGCAATCATCTGCTGCGTGATGGGCGATGTAAAGATGCTGAGAATCGAAAAGACCGCTGCAAAGCTGACAAAATGTCTGACGTGGTTTTAGCCTCGGACCGGAGATATCAGTATTAAGGAAACTATTAGGCGAGACATACCTCCATTTAAAATTCCGAATCAGCGTCCAGTTCCCCCACGCCCCTCGACTGGCGGAATCTAGGACCTGGAAATCGGCCAGAGACCTGCCCTTACTTTCCTGGCCGTTAGGCGTGTATATATTCCACTTCCACTGGCTCAGTGCCTCTGAGATGGGAGACATGAAGGCTGCCTTGGTGAAGGTTGTGAAGAATGCGAGAAACGTGTTGAGTGTAATGTTCATTGGGAGCTTGGGGAGAGCCCTTCCATCATATGCGCCAAGAACAGCAATGATAACTAGGTACACAGGTCAGCTAATGCCAGTCAAAATGATTGCTTAAATATATTAGTGCAGAGCGTACTTATGTAGGAGCATACACTGGCAACGCAAAACAGGATTTCTACCAGCCAGAGTCTCCAAGAAGCGGGCGTCCGTGTAGGTGACAATCTTGTAGTATAGCCCGACTGCTCGATTTTGGACCCCCATGATGACGATGGGTCTAGGTTGGAACTTGATACAGGTGAGACGATGTGCTCATTTGCCTGGCCATTGCCTGTTATGTCAGTTGTCGAGATGACAGAAACAGACTTTGCCTCACGGCCTCCAGGGACATTGTGGGAAGACATGGCCTGAAGAATGAGGGATGAAGATCCAAGACAGCCTATCAAGTGTTAGGTTCTAGGAACAGGTGACAATCAAGTGGGTTGGATTAAATGGTGCCAGACCTGGGGAAGCCAAAGGGAAGGGAGAGGGAAGGTCTGTATGTAGCAGAGCATCCTTTATCATTCATCTCGAGCGAATGACCGCTAAATCTTCTAAATATAACAACAGTCTAGACTAGCGAGAGTGATGGTGGTGAACATGGAACCGAGGGGCTGGGATGGTAGGTAATAAAGGTGATACAATGTCTCTGTAATTGGTTAACCAATAGGGGTAGTGTTCCGTGGTCAAAGATCCTAGGGTGCCTGGGACCATGAGGCGAGATCGCATTCTACTCGATCGTTCTAAGTATGCCGTGAAGGTATCGGAGTGGATGTGAGGTGCTTCAAGGCTGGCTTGTGGCACAATGATAAACTGCAGTTGGCACAAACAACCGGCTTGGCCTCTAGACCTGTGGTAAAAAGGTAGCATTTCTTCATCAAAGATACTTGGCTAATGTAATCTATGGCGCTGGGAAGAAAAGGTACCCTGCATTCAACGCTAAGAAACATTAAAAAGAGCATGGGATAGAAACGGAACAAAAATAACGTACCGAAGCCGCGTGGAGGTAGGGATCAGTGAGTAACACAAATAGGAACCGACCATTTAGAATAGAGCCATATGCTGTATTCAATATGTCGTTTTTGCACTCGTGGCGGTGCAGTCACTGTCGAATCCATCAACCCTAGTTCTGGTATGCGGTGTCAAGACCCGGGACCTACGCAAGCATTTGTCGGGAAGAAGGGCAGTGCTTGGGAAGGGTCCCCGCAGAATTGCAGCTTGTCGATTGGCTGCCCCATTTAGACTGCCGCCGGCTGTTACTCTGTGCCACCATGGCGCGTTTTAGCCGGTGATGTGCGGGCTGCTGTTGGGTCCAACGCCTTCCGGCAGGAGCTCACCCGTAAATTTAGGTGCTGATTGTCGTCGAAGCCCAGCCTAGAGTGGCTGTAGCAAGCATACCAATTCCACAGCGCCGTCGAAATACCGCTCGATATCTGGAGAGCACATCCATATATCAGCGAACATTTGCCGTCTAACAGCAGGGAAACAAACCGACCATTACAGGATATGCCTTTTCATTGGTCTACCGCACGTCCGATGCGGCTCGGACTGACAAAGGACGACTTATCCACCTCCTTGCCTTAGGGCTGACCATCTCGCGTACATCCCATATAACCACGTCCCGGCAGTTAAGTGCCAATTACTACTCAGTAGTGTTGTAGTCGGCAACGCTGATTATATTGTTTTGATCTGCTATCATTCCATTAGCGAATGTGATATACTCGCTTAACACTGACCTGTAGATAAACACCCACATGATAGTGAGTGGCTCGGCGGTTTAGAATTGTGAGGCCGCTGAACGAAGAGAACTATCTAGTTGAGTATATCCTGAACGTGGGTGGCTAAATAAAGCACCTTGGTAGATCGATGGGCTGAACAACAATTTGCCACGAGTCAGCCTGCGATGGTGATCAGCTTCATCATCTAGGGTATCATGGACGGGAATCATTGCTACTCAGTCACCCACCCAGTGTAAATGTCGACCACTAGGCGCTGCAGATTGACAGACTCGCACAAGACCGCCGCACCCGCCGCTTCTACACATCCGCTGCTGATCGGTCAAAATTCGGCGACAAGAAAGATAAGAGGTACTCCCACACATTCCCATGGTATAGGTGGAATGATATGTGCCTTGGCGTTAAAATATTAAGGAGATCCCGAAATAGGTATTGTGTAGAGTTCGCCATAGTATCTATGGCTGAAAAGACGAGACGAGGGCCAGGGCTGAAGACGTGGAACGAGAAATGAGAGGATCCATGACGTAACTTGCCAGTCAGTAGCGTTCAAATTTCAGCGGCCCGTACCTATCACCGTTGGCGGCCCGAGTCGGTGATCGATCGCGCCTTCCCAACTATGGACTTTCAGTGAGGATGGCTGCCGATAATTGGCTGGAGTGACTGCAAATTTCCCCTTTGGTCTACTCTTCTTCCAAAAATCCGAAATGGCCACAGAGAACCCACGCATCCGTTTCGAGAAGTAGCCATACATGAATAGGAATTAATGGCTTCTAACGATATACGAGCGGATGCTTAGCAATGCCACGTCTTCAATAACGGCATGCTAGCGGATCATATCAATACTCAACATGGATTTTCAGAACGGAAGCGACCTTCTTGCCTGGAAGGAGTCACTCCCGAGCACAGAATCGCGCGGAACCGACTGCCTTCCCTCTGTCACAGACGCAGACGAATACGCGCGGAAGAATGGTCTGACGGTTGACAGCCTCCTTAACGATGCCTGGACAGGCCTGCTCGATCGGTCCTCTCTTATGACTGCGACTATCGTCCAGACCGAGACT